CAAATTGAGCAAGGAGTTGCAGATTTCAATGCAATGGGTTATTTATTTATTTATTTAGTCTACAGAAAAATGTTTCCTTACAGACAGTTGAGATAAAAAGATTTAGAATATTTAAGTATGTGTGATACATTACAGAGTGAAATAATTATAAATATTAACTTGTAAAGATAACAATGATATTCAATAGCAATATGGGTAGCTGGCGAGGCCTTGTCTCCAGTCTACTTTTGTGTGCGGCGGGCGGAAAGACCTAGTTTCCGCTCCGCCCTGTTTACAGGCCGTTGATCATGGTCGGAAAGGCCGAGCTTCCGATCCATGTTCCCGTAGTCGTTACTTTGTAAGTGAGGCAGGCGGAAAGTCCTAGTTTCCGCTCCACGCTATAGACGAACTGTTGGGCGAGGTCGGAAAGGCCGAGTTTCCGATCCCTGCTCCTATTGTCCTACGCGGTCGCGGAAATATACGAAGCCGTTACAATTGTACTAAGCAGTCATAGATATTGTGTAATTTTTTCGTTCAACGGTTGCAGATATTAGTTTATTTAGTTAACTTGTTGAGCAATGTTTTCTTTATTACAAAAAGCGATTCAGATATGTCGATGCAATCATAATGCTTGTTAAAATCTTGGCATAAGCACCGAAAAGCATCATGCATTTCAAAGTTTGATTTACAAATACTCAACACAATAGGTTTAAAATGTCTCGTGGGTCTTGTAGGAATACAAAAATTTATCTCACTCAGTAAAAAGGGACTACTGACCATCCCGTTCATTAATTTAATTAAAAAAAGAACACCAAGCATCTCTCTACGACTCTGAAGCGTCGGCAAATCTATAAGCTTCAGGCGATCCTTGTAGGGTGGGAGATTTTTAGACGAGTCCCAACATAAATTTTTGAGGGCAAATAACAGGAACTGTTTCTGCACTGATTCGAGCCTGTCACTATGAATTTGATAGCTAGGATTCCATACTATAGATGCATACTCCAAAATCGGTCTAACTAGAGAGGTAAAGAGAACTTTAGTGACATAAGGATCGTTGAACTCCTTGGCCCAGCGCTTAAGAAAAGCCAACAATCCTCTAGCCCTAATCACGCAGGAGTTTATGTGAGACTTGAATTCTAGTTTCGGATCCATAGTTACACCTAGGTCAATGAAATTGGTCACTTGCTCAACATTGTGGTCAGATATCATATACGAATTTGGATAGAACGATTTTCTAGAGAAGGTCATGAATTTACACTTTTTCAAATTTAGTGACATGGAATTTGCTTCACACCATTCGAAAATGCAGGTTAGGTCAGCTTGCAAATGCTCCCTATCTTCTGCAGTACTAATGTACTTAAAGAGCTTAACATCATCAGCGTACATTAAGCATTTCGAGTAATTCAACACCTTAGGAAGGTCATTTATAAATAAAATAAACAAGACGGGACCAATATGGCTGCCCTGAGGTACGCCGGATGTGACATGTATTGGCCGGGAGGTACAATTTTTAAAAATTACTCTTTGTTTCCTATCCACTAAGTAAGAAGAAAGCCAGCTGAGAAGAATAGGAGGGAAGCCAATTCGATCAAGTTTATATATAAGGGTTGAATGAGATACCTTGTCAAATGCCTTGCTGAAATCAGTGTAAATCACGTCCGTTCGAAGATTGTTTTTAAACCCATTAGACACATAAGTAGTGAATTCAAGAAGATTGGATACAGTTGATTTACCTTTGCAAAAACCGTGTTGCGATAGATCAATAGCAGAAGTAATAGAGTGAGATAGTTCTTCCGTAACGATTGCCTCAAAAACTTTAGCAATAGCACAAAGCTTCGCAATTCCTCTATAGTTTACGATGTTAGTCCTACTTCCATTTTTATAAAGTGGCAAGATAAACGAATCCTTCCAGGAAGATGGGAAGACACCCTGTTTTAGGGAAGCATTAAAAATATTTGCCAGAGGCTTATACAAATACTCTGCACAACTTTTAAGAACACTTGTGGGTATACCGTCTGGGCCAGCTGTATATGAAATTTTCAAACAATTCAAATGAATGAGGACGTCCGCAGCAGATATCGATGGAATTCGGATACAATCAAATGATGGCAGATCGAATGGGTAGCTAGATAGATTCGAATTCAGTTGGGAAGATGTAGAACTGGCAGAGTAGTTTGACTCGAAGAAACCAGCAAACATATCGGCAATAATATTTTCGTCACTGGAAACTAAGTCATTTAACTTCAATGTTGAGGGATAACCGTTAGTCTTACGCTTAGTGTTCACAAATGCGTGAAACGATTTGGGATTAGAAACTATATTGAGTCGAACCCTGTTAATATAATTATTGTAACACTTTTTGTTCAATACATTGTATTTATGCCTAAGAATGGAGTACGCGGAGTAGTGAGAAGACAAGCCAGATTTTTTAAAAAGCTTAAATGCTTTGGATTTTTGATTTTTTAAGCGTTTCAATTCGCCAGTAAACCACTGAGCGTTAGACGTTACGTTAGCTTCCTTAACAAGAGGAATGATTTTACTGAAAATGTGGCGTAAGGAATTGCTAAAATGTAAGGCACTATCTTCAGCATTCCCATCATACTGGGGCCAAGTTATCTTCGATATCTCTAACCTAAGTTTATTATAATCTGCTGTTTTAAATGAGTAACGCTCCGCTCTTGATTTTTTACTGATAAAGCAACATGAGTTGCGTGAATTTATCAAGGACAATTCTAGTGGTGGGTGGTGAGAATCAACAGGGGTAATCAAAGCATAGCTAGGGGCTATTGTGACGTTGGAAACATCGTCCACAAAAACTAAATCCAGACATTTACCTAAGTTATTACTAACAGAGTTGATCTGGTAAAGACTAAGATCTGACAGATCGTTCAAAAATTGATTGAAGAGATCACGAGAGGAATTTGGTACTAGAATACCATCTATTAGATCCCAAGAAACACCCGCAAGATTGAAGTCACCCAGGACAATAACAGTATCGGAGGGCTTCACCATGGCATGTAGAGAGAGCAGTAAGGAAGAGTGTTTTAAATAAACAGAAAGGCTCGAGTTAGGTGGTATATAAGCAGCAACAAGATAAACGCTCATAGAATGATATCTTATTCGAACGCAGAGGAATTCAACTTCATCGGTGTCAGTGAACTCAATTTCTTCAGAAGAAAGGTCAGTCTGGACAGCGATTAAGACGCCTCCACCTTTTTTATTTAAACGGTCGTTTCGAAACACTTCATACTTAGGACACAAAATTTCCGAGTTGAACACATTCGGCTTGAGCCAGGTTTCAGTAAACACCAGTACTTTGAAGTCAAAATCATAGGACTGCAAGTGTAACCTTGATAGCTTTGTGTTCAAACCTCTCACATTTTGGTAGTAAATGCTAATGGTGAGGTTACTTATTAGTTTTTTGATGCCGAGGTGGAAAGCGGAAGTTGAGCCAAATTTTGCCCTTGCGGTCTAGATCTAAATTCAAATTCGCGAATGAAGGCACCGCTTGGCCAAAAAGATGGGCTCATTACTCTATCAAAGCAGTCTTCGGATATGTCTATTTTAAAAGAAGAAATGCTTCTTTCATACGAGAATCTGAACTTGCGTACATGCAACTCATTTGCTATCAGCCTGGAAGTTAAATACCCCTTCACATCATCGACAGTGGTATCTTTTGAAAACCTAGATATAAAGACCGATTTTTTGGAAGGGACAACGATTAAATCCCTCGGGACGGGGTTAACGCAATCGGAAACGGTTTCAGATGTGGTAGGGGGTTGCGGAACAGGGGGTTGCGGAACAGCTGTCAACTTTTTGGAAGGAGCAACGATGGCTTCGGATGTGGTAGGGGGTTGAGATGTAGTTGTGGAGTTTTTGGAAGGATCAACGACTACTTGCATTGGAACGGTGTTGACGCAATCGGAGATGGCTTCAGATGTGGTGGAGGGTTGAGATGAAGCTGTTGAACAGGAATTTAGTGAGGCTCCAGTAGAAGAAGGACGTGGTTGGGGAGATTCAGTCCGCCGAGGAATCGGTGTGTTAAAGCTTATGAGTTCTTTGTTCATAGCTGGAGTCAAAAGTGGGCGGTTCTGCGGAAGATCCAGGTCCACAGTGATGGGATTCAACACAATATTTTCCACGCCTCTCCTACGTCTCTTAAGACCTTTTCCAGGAGAAGGAGAGGAGGAGGAAGTATCTAATAATTTAAATTCTTTGAATTCATCCTCATACTTCTTGAACTTCTCGTTGAGCAGTTTTAGCTCTTTGCTTATCTCCGAAAATCCATTTCTAGCGGTTCTAAATAGTTTACAGAGATCCACAACAGTTTTTTTACACTTTGGACATGACCAGCGAAGTCCATTGTCTCCAATAATCATATCCAGAACTCTCCCATTAATACCAGCACACTTTAAATGAGACAGTTCATCGCAAAGCCAGCACGCCACAAAACGGTCCGAACCGGCTTTAACATTACATTTTTCGAACAGACAGGACATTTTTAGCGAATTTTATTAAAAAAGAATAAAAATAGCGAAATTAGGAATGTATTGTACGAAAACGTTTCAAGCTCACAGTAATTGGCAGTTTAATAGCTAGTGGTCTTGTTTAGTGAAGTTCAATGGTTAGAAACCGTGCTGAACTTAACAGTTTTAAAGCCACTGAGTTAACAAAATCAGCTGTCACCAAGAAAGCGACTGTCGATGATAAACAAAGGTGTGTGTAAAGCGCGAAAGAAAGCAAAATGAACAAACAAATGCGATATTCCTTACACTCTCACGCAAAAGCAACAATAATGCACCAAAACAGGCAAATATGCACGAAGGCCGACTAAATAAAACTTTTCAATCAACGCACTTTATGACTAAATCAAGTCAATTTATTGGAATTTGGCTTCAGTAAACTTTTTACGGTGTGAATAACACAAATTAGAACTGCTTAGCACTTTGTAAACGAGTTAAACTTTGGAAATTCTTTCAAGCGAAAGTTTAAGTGACCGCACAGTACGAACGTTGCCACAATGTATTGGAGCTATAGGTAGGCTTAAAAGTAATGCGATGGAAAAGAACTTTTATCAGAAACGGTTTTATAATACAGATGGATGTCATATAGAGATACACCCAAAAAAAGAAGAAGCCATTGATTATCACAACTACAAAGGGTGGTATTCAGTCGTACTGTTGGCTTTAGTAGACGCAAAATATAGATTCAGTTATATCCATTGCGGCAGCCCAGGAAGGTGCAATGATTCCGCAATTTTTGAAAAGTCGTCTCTAAAACGGGAGCTGCAGGAATGCGCACTCCTTGATGAATTGAGCTGGCAGTATGGATCCACAAAAATACCAGTGCACGTTATAGGTGAATCAGCCCTTCGCCTATCTCAGCATTTAATGAAGCCATACCCGCATAGCGTAAACAACACACCTGAACAAAAAAAATTCAACTATAGATTATCCAAGTGTCGACGTGTTGTGGAAAATGCTTTTGGCCATTTAAAAGCCAGGTGAATACAAAGTTGTCTCTTTCCAACATGGTTAAATTTGTATGCTATTTTAGATTTAGAAGAATTGGAAAAGGCGTGGATAATCACATAAAAAATGCAAACACTGTGATTTGTGCTGCATGCGGTTTACACAATTTTTTAATTGCACAGAAGGACTATCGTAGAGAATTGGGTAGTAGAAATGCAACGAGATAGCAGGTGCAACCCGCAATGCAGCAACAACCAAAGTGATCGATCTGAAGGAGAATTGATAAGAAATTCTTTAAGGGAATATTTCCGTAAGTATATTTTTTAAAAAATTGTTTTACTTACATAATGTCTAAATGCTTTTGTCAAAAAGCAGATAATCGTACCTTTCTTACGATATACATAACTTTAAGGTTTGACTATGTATTATATGCACCAAAATAATTTTTTTTTTCAGAAACTTCAAATGAAAGGTATTTTAATTACTGGTGTACTAATTTTTCCAATTGAGATTTAACCCTCAATATGTTCTTTTTTAACACGGTTTTATTCAGCACAAAAAATTCTATCGAGCCTTGCTTCCATTTTTTTTACGCCAAAGGGCGGTATTTTTTACTTCTGCCATGAATCATCAGGGTCGAATCACAATATATGCTTCTACTCCCAAAACACTAATAGATG